CTTAGCCAAACTTATTTTTAAAACCTTTACTCAAATTAAATAGGGGACTAGGAGTAGTCAAACATGCATACACCTTTATTATATGTAAAATAAATATGCATTGAGAGAGATTAAACAAGTGGAACTAATTACTTTTTAACCATATATTTTCTAAAAATTCACTATTCCAAACAATATTTTTTTAAAAAAAAAAGAAAAAAGAAAAAGCCCATTAAACAAAAACTGAATAAGTTAGACCGTCTATTTTTTAAAATTTATATTGTTAATTATTATGCAATTATCTTACCGAAGAAGACATTAATCACCTTATTTAAGCTAGTCTTAGAACCAATTTAGCTGTTGGAAGTGGAGATGCATTTTTATTTATTGGACAGATAGACTTCACTGTCATCTAGACTGATATTAAGTACTAATAGTGCTAAGTCGTGTTATCTTAAGTTAAATGTTGTGATAATATTGATTTGCTATATTATTATTTTTTTTCTGATTTAGCCCCCAAACTAATAATTTTAAACTTAGCCAAACTTATTTTTAAAACCTTTACTCAAATTAAATAGGGGACTAGGAGTAGTCAAACATGCATACACCTTTACTATATGTAAAATAAATATCATTGAGAGAGATTAAACAAGTGGAACTAATTTTTTTTTTTTTAAAAAAAAGACTGAAATGTGAGTTTTTAATGTTGTTTTCATTTTATTATGGGAATTGACATCTTCACTACCAATTTGCTTATAACTTGGGTCATCGACTTGCATGAATTGTTTACTTCGTTAAATTTTTCTTGAGAAAATGTTGTTTCTCTCGTGATGGAACATTTGACAAGTCTAATTTTGCCTTTTTTTTACTCAAATATTACGTATATTGGTGTTAGATATTATTAGTATTCTTTTTTTTTTTTTTTGTCCTTTCTAAACTGAATAATATGAAATTTGTATGTTTGTCTTCCATTATTGGGAGAAAAATAGAGTAATAAATAATATTTTTTGGAAAATGTGCGATTGAAAAGTAAAGTATTTTCATTGATTTGTGTGTAGAATATTTTATGGGGGTGAATGTGTAGTGCAAAATCTTACTGTAGCAAACATTTTTTTGGAATAATGGTAGACAAACAGAGGCTTAGATTACAATGAGCCATGTTTCAATGAAATGGTGGGATTCATCGTCACCTCAATTGGTGTTACGCAAATTGGTGAAAGTGCAAGTTTAGTTCCCCACGGCTTCATTAGAGTACTATTCGATGCATGTTGAGATCCACATTGGTGTTAAGCGTCGGAATTATATTGTTTGTAGACCCCCACTATTTATTGCAGAGTGTTCCATTGATAGGATCCATTGCCACCTCAATTGTTACTAAGTTGGGGGTGATACATAGCTTCTGTTTTTATTCACTTTATTTCCTTCAAATTCTACTTTTAAAGTAAAATATCCCATAAGATTCATAAATATTATCACTTCTCGTCAATTCATTTCTAAAAAAGTAAAATTTTAGCAAAATATAGTCTTATTTGGTATCAATTAAAATCTAAATTTTAATCTAATTCAAAGTCAACAATTAATTTTAGCCACATATTTTATGAATTCCATAACTTTTCAACCACACATTTCATCAACTTTTATCAAAATTTACTAAAAATCTGATTTTAAACTCCACCAAATAGAGATATAATATGTATCCAAACATAAGCCTAAGAAATGACAAAGGCTAGGGCAAATCCACCTTAAATAGTGGCGTAGCATTTCTCCTTTTAAATTGCTCTATTAGGACCCTCACACAATGCACGCAAGTTACGAAATGGAGTCCTTTCGAGTTGAGATCTGTTGTCCATTCAATTAATTATTAATACATTATTTTAAATTAACATATCATCAATTTGATGTGTTAGTGATGAAGTTAATAAAGATAAAATTAATTTAAAAATAATATGTCAGTAATTAATTCGATGAATAATAAATTGAACAGTAAAAAGTAGACAAAAAAATCTTCGAGATCTTTCGATCTAAGCGAGTAAAGTGTCCGAGCGTACGAAAAGCACCTTACTCGAGTCTACTGCTCTCCACGTCCTTTCTCTCTGTAGATCAACTATTGGCTCTGTTTCTAGACAGATAGAGTAGCAGAGAGAAAAGACCCAGTTGATAACGACGTCGTGGCAAGGATTGCCTATGCCACATGTAACACTATCGAATTCTAGAAGTCAAAATTAACCAGGAAGTGACGCGTGTTTATCCCACAAACAAATCAACATCAATTTTGACACGTGGTGAGGTTTCTGTCTTCAAGAAATTTAAAAATTGTGGAATCTTTTAATTATACTACGGAATTTAAGAGGGTGTTTGAAACCCATTTTTTGGGGAATGAAATTTTTGGAATAGTGATTGATGGAAGATTATGAGGTGGAAAAGTTATGAAAGTTTTAGATTTGTGTATAATATTATATACTAAGCTAAAAGAAAGGAACACAACAGCAGAAAAAGAAAGGAAGAAAAATTAAATGATTTAGAGGGTGTTTGAAACCCATTTTTTGGAGAATGAAATTTTTGGAATAGTGATTGATGGAAGATTATGAGGTGGAAAAGTTATGAAAGTTTTAGATTTGTGTATAATATTATTTTATTGAAAGAATATGTGGTTGAAATGAAGAGAGAGAAAAAAATGAGAATGAGAATTAGATAAAAATGGGTGTCAAACAGGACCTAAATAAGCTATGGAGATTTAATTTTAATTTTCTTTAATACAATTTACTTCTCGAAAATTAATAATTTGAAAAACTAAATTCTAAATGCATCGGCTCGTCTCATGTGTATTGTACAAGGAAATTATATGTATTGATTCGTATTTTGCGCATTGAGCAATGAATCATTGACCTCTCTGTACTAATAGAGTTAAAACTCGAAATTATCGTAGAGGAAAAATTTTTCAAACAAAAAATATAATGAAGTTAACAATTTCAAATAAATAATTCATGCAAAAATTTATTTATGACTTAAATGGGTGTCAATGCCCTTGATGGCCCCATCTCCCTCCAATGTACTTTTCATCGTCGACTAGATTAGTGTTAAGTATCAATAATATACATAACATTACTTGAAATTTTAAATTAAATTTATATTTTTAATCAAGAATACCATTTTTGAAACATGTCTTTACAAGTAATGAGATAGGGCATTGGCAATGACACCCATCTTCTTTCGTCATTACCAGTTGTCAAATAGGTTGGTATTAAAAACACACACGAGTTATTGAAAGTTTTAAGTTTACATTTTTAAACGAGTATATCGATGTATCAAACATGTTCTTATGAGCATTATTGAGTCACGATAGGACACCAATCACATCCTCTCTTAATCGTTGTTGATTGTCACTTAAATTAATGATAAACACCAGGATATACATAGCATTATTCAAAAACTCTTAATTAACATTACATATATAGATGAGAAGACTAACGTATTAAACAAACCCTTTACGAGCATTAATGAGAAGAGAAGGGCTCTAGCTCTGTCTCCCTCTTGTAATGTTCAAAGAACATAGATAGGTGTTAAGTATCACCGGTATCATAGCATTATTTAAAATTTTGAATTAAATTTTAAATATTTTACATAAGAAGATCCCACGTACTTTATTGAAATTACGACAAAATCAAACATTAATTTCAATCACACATTAACAATATTACGCATTTAATAATCCACACATTTCATAGGACAATAACTTCATTCATTATGATCCCATAATTTCTTTCGAACAAGCATACGGGGTAGGGCATCGACCCCTTCCTCCCTCTACTACTTCCCGTTGTCACCTAACTTAGTGTTAATCATATATAGTATGGAAATTAAATATTTTCTACTACTATTTAGTTAATTCATTCTAATTAAATTGTGGGTCTAAATTCCTTGTTTCGCATAAATTAAAATGACATTTGTGGCAAAAATGTGTTCAGAAATTGTGATTTTTATTTTTTTGAAAACGTGCGATTAGAAATAATGAATAGTTTTGAATGTACGTGTAACATTATTTTATGGTAGAATATGATTAAAAATAAATTTCAAAAAAAAAAAAAATACATTTTTGAAAAATGGAGCTCAAATAGGGACTGAATATACATTTTTATTAAATAGTGGTACGGAGTAAACAAGTGCTCCATATAGGGTAGTACTAAAAAAATTCTTTTCAAACTACCTTAATCTCTCACTACCCACTGTCATCCAAATGGGTGCTAACACTATTATTACTAACAAATAACAATAGTAAAAAATTAAAAATAATTTTACATATTTGGACGATATGATTTTTGTATCGAATATGTCATTAGATCATCTAATATAAAATAGATCTAAATTGTAATTTAAAATTTTAAAGTGTTCGAAAACCTAGATGCAAAGTGAATGCAAATTATTATTATTATTATTTTTTTTTACAAAACTGTAAAAAAAAAGATGTACAAGAGACAAAAAAAGAGATTGAAAAGTAATTTTAAAAATATCAATTTTAAACCATCAGTGAAAATACGTGCATGAGTGAGAGGACATACGAGGAGAAGACGCCTGTTTTGTGAGTACACATCGAAATCCAGGTGTCTCTACCACGTGGCCGTGGGTTTAACCCCAATTCCTCTTAAAGGTACCACGTGTCAATTTACAATTGTCTAGCGTTACACAATCAAGGTCCTTTTCGTCATTTCACTCTCTTTATAGCATAACTTCCTCTCCCCCCTCTCTCTCTCATGGTGCCCTCTCTAAAACTCGCCACTTTTCTTCTCTATATATAATTCAGAATTAGATTCCGTTTCATTCGAAATTCTACAACATTAACAGATTATAAGAAGAAAATGTTTTGAAACTCAGCGTTTGAGCTCTTTTTTTCTCAAAAACATTTTACTTCTTTTTTCTGATTTCTGGGGAAAAACGAAACCAAACTTTAATTTCACTTCAAACTGAAGTTTTTTTTATCTGGGTTTCGTTAAAAACTGAAAAAATTTCAATCATACTTCTGAATGATGGCGGGAGCACAAGAAAATTTCAATCTTTCTTTTCATGTTAATCGGTTTTTGGTGAATGGACAAGAACCGGAAGCTGATGAAGAAATAGAGTTAAGTTTGGATCTATCGTCGAATGGAAGATTTGGAATGGACCCCAATAAGGATGCCAAAAAGCTGAAGCGCGCGTCTTCCATTTCAAACTTGATTTTTGCAGCTGATGCTGGTGGCTCCGGTGTTAATGGAGTGAGTGCGGCCTTTCAGACGTACGGCACGCTGACGAGGACGAGCTCCCTGCCGGCGGACCCGCCCGAGGAGTGGTGGCGCAGGAAGGAGTTGCAGACTATGAAACGGATGGAGGCGAGGAAAAAGAGAATGGAGAAGTTGAAGAATGTGAGAATTGGCAAAGATAAAGAGAATTCTATTGAAGAAAATGGGTTTAGTCGATCGCATGGAGTTTTAATTGGAAATACTGCTGCTGGTAATGGGCTAATTGGATCAAAGGAGAGAGTTTCTTCGGGAATTCCGGAGTTTCAGAGTCAACATGCAGAAGGTATATCTGACCTTTCTTTTTTGATTTCTATTTTTCTTTTCGGCTGTGAATTTTTTATTTATAATGCTTTGCTTATATAATGCAGATTGTCTTAAATGAAAATGTTCTTTATTTTTGTGGGTGGAAGGGAGGACTTGTACTTATTTTGGACTGGTTTACTTACTAACGTGTATTTGGATGGCTTTCGACTTTCGTCACTAGCTTGAACCGAATGCTTTTCTCTATTGCGTCTCCCTTGAATGCAATTATGGTTTCTTGACTAGTTGCTTTTTCAGATTGTGCATTTCCGTATCCGGGCTTCAATCGAATGTATTTTTTTTTTTACTGTTTCTAGCTTGAATGTTAAATACATCTCATGCATGGTGTACACCAAGTTTTACACTTTGACACTTGACAACATATCATTGGACAATTTAAAAACAACAAAATTTTTTTGTCCAATCATTTGTCAAAAAGTTGGATAATGTCAAAAATGGTGTATGCGGAAAGGTGTAGAAATGGCATTTCCCTAAATCCATTTCATAACTTGTTGCTTTTTCAGACTGCATTTCCATGTTGGAGCTTGGTTTTTCCGGAGTTCTTTGTGTAGTTAGAAAGAGTTGCGTCTTCAACACGAAAAGATCCTATTTTCCATCACAGTCTAACTACACCTCTTGATTTGCCAGAGATCCTAATTTCCATTATAGTCTAACTACGCCTCTCGAATCACCATTCATCCAGATTTTCCATCATAGCCTAACGCCGCCTCTTGAATCCCCCAACATCCATCTTTTTCATTATAGTCTAACTTAACCTCTTTAATAATTATACATCCCTACTTTCCATTGATTGGTCGTTTTTCATTTTACCAATTACATCCACCCAGAAGTTTCGAAATCAACAAAAGAAAAGAACCTCTGGGTACTTGATCTCTCTCTCTCTCTCTCTCTCTGCTTAAAATCTCATATATTTGAATCCCATTCCTCTGGCATGGTGGAACGGGCTCTCCTTTAAAGCTCGAATTGGGCACTGAAATCCAATGGATACAATTGGATTTATGGATAAACAAAATGTTGCTCTTTGTGGATCCTATTGGATTTCATTAGGAGAAAGAATGTTGTGTCCATTGTGCTATCAGAAGCTTCAAAGGAATGCCTAAGAAGAATTCCTATAATTTTTGCCGCTATTTGGTTTATAAAAGTGTCAATTTTCAGAATGCGCACATTACCCTTCAATATTTCTAGGCCCTGCATAAAGGTCCCTTACATGTTTTGAAGATTAGGTCCAGAAAAACTATCTATGGATCGATTGGATTTCTCATGGAGGATGAATGTCGTGTGAGTTGTGCTATCAGAAGCGCTGGGGAATCCTTGACAAGGAGTTCTATTCCTGTAATTCCGGTGTCCCTTTTGATTTAGGGAAGTGTGGATTTTCCACCCTGTGTCACCATTCAGTATATCCATTTGAATATTCCGATAGCATGTTTGAAAGCCTCTCTTTATAGATCTCGTTGGAGTTCACCCAGAGAGCGAATTCTATATCTCTTGTTCTACCAGAAGTTCTAAGGATAAACTTAAGAAGGAATCCTATTAGGTTTGGAGAATTGTGAATATTTTGCTGGACCTTGCAAAAAGATCCTTTAGAATCTTCACAAGATAAGTCTACAAGCCACTTCAAATTAATCTCGTTTGATTTCATTTGAAGAAGGAGTTCGCCAGAGTCTTTGAGAGAACACACGAGGAATCCTTCAATTTCGTCTGCATTCTTGATTTTTAGGAAGTGTGGATCTTTAATTCCTTTCACACCATCCTTCAATATTTCAGTTTCTTGACCCTATGGAAAAATATGTTTGAATCTTCCATATATTGTATACAAAAGCCACTATTAGTTATTAGAGTAAATGGATGCGTAATGCTTTTTCATTGTGATTACTGTAATTAGTTATTTTGATTCTTTTTGGAGGAGGGGTTTGCGATTTAGTGATAATACATGAGGAATGCTCTAATTCCGTTGGGTTTCTTATTTTTAAAAAGTGTAGATCTTCAACTCTGCTCTCACCACCCCTCAATATTTCTCCATCTCGTAGAAAGATATGATTGTATCTCCCAAAGATTGGTTACAAAAGTCATTCTTGTTTATTAGAGCAATGACGCTTAAAGATGATAATACAAATTTAGGCCCCGTTTGGTACGGATTCTCCAATTCTACAGTAAATCAATTCTCATTTTCAACCACACATTCTTCAATAAAATAATATTTTCCACCACATCAATAATCTTATCTTCTTTTTCAACCACACATTTCTCATCATATCACTATTCAAAATCAATTCTTCCCCCAAAAAATCTCTACCAAACAAGCTCTTAATATTTTTCTTTAGAGGAAATTTTAGAAACTTGAATCTAGTCGTGCTACCATTTCAGACACGCCAACATAGGCATAAAAGTATGAAGGGTATAACGCATGAATTGAGGGAATGCTTATACAAAATTTATAACAAATTTTGTCACGTATGACGTCCAATAGCTCTATTTAATTGAAGATGTGTCAATTACATGTGGACGTCTATATGGAAACTCATAAAAACGTTCATTCACATGTGAAGTATGAAAATCATGTAACGCTCCTAATGTTGAAAATAAATAAAAGTTTGAAATTTCCTATAGTCAATTCTCCTTCGGCACCTCAAGTTGGGTGCAATTCATTCTCTAGCACCTCAAGTTAGAAGCATAGGAGAATTTGTAGCATCATTTTACATTTGCAATATGATCCATATTTCAAATTATCATCGAAAAGCTAGCCTGCATATTCTAGAGGAATTCTCAACGTGTCCCCTTGCCCCGTTTAGAGCTTCAATCATCATTGGTAAGCAAGTTTGTGGTGAAGAATCTCTAATTCACTTTTTTTTACTAGAGTGGCAACATGGAGAACACTTGTAGAGTCGGTCCTTTTCGATGGAAGTTGTCTAAAAGCTCTATGAAGTTTTATATAAACAAAAAAAGGAAGGAATAGAACATAATTGAAAGAATGCCTTTCTTTTTTTTTTTTACAAAAAAGAAAAGGAAGAATGCTTTATTTCCCATAAACCCTACCACCCCGAAGCAAGCTCCCCACCTACGAGCTCACTATTTTCGAGAGTCAGCCAACAACCGAACTCATTGTCCCTAGGTGAAATCACCTATTTAGGCACTTCTCTTCGGCTACCTTTAACATTTTCCCTTTTAAGTTCTCAGAATTTCCTCCCCCCCTCTCCTTCCATTTTGGAACTTTTGTATGCTTCCATGCACTATCCACATAAACTCGTTGATGCGACACATTATGTTTCTTCACTGTAAACTCCATTATCCCTGAGCCAGTCTCTTACTGTCGATGCAAGACCACCATTGCTATTAGTGCATTAATAGCACAAATTGATTGCAAGCGTAAGCCCACCACCTTGACATAAGGCCCACCATTGTAACCTTATCACCATGATCACAAAATATAATATTTCATATTGCTATTGTCAAATTGTGAACTGTCTCCATTATCTAGCAACATAAGATCCGTATCTTCTCTTTCCCACCTAAATGACAGGGAACTCTCGGAGAATTAAGAAAGTGGATATCATTATTTACCTTTTAAATCACGAGCTATTGATGTTCTAATACGAAAGGTGATATTTATTCTTTTTTCATCTCTAGATTAAATTGATATGAAACTCAAAATTTTACCTCATATTGATATTTATAGTAAAAAAATTATATTTGTTTCAACCAAATTTAAATTTAAAATTTAAATTTAAAATTCAAATTTGAATTTGATGTGATTTAACATGTGTGCCAATTTTAAATTTTAACATAGAATTTTAATACAGGCAGCACATCAATTTAAAATTTTAACACAGGCAGCACGCTGCCTTGCGGACGGCTTCATGTAGCTACCTGATTTGACTTTTTTTTTTAAGGCTTGGCTCGGCTCGTTCCAATCGGCACGGGGCTTGGGCTGATGCTACAAAATGGGGCTCGGACAGAGCCTCTACTCGATTCTACTGAGCCGTGAGTCGGGCCAACTCGGGCTTTTCCTGGGCTGAATCACGGCCTCCCGGGTCAGCAAGTCAAATTGACACCCCTTCCTCGAAGTATAAGTTTTATGCTCTCATGAATGGTGTGATGAATACTTATCAAGTTATGGTCAATGCTCAACTCTTGTCAATGAAGCGAAAACTAAAACCTTGTTGTGGAACTTATTGATCAGCCTATATCCCTTACAGTCATTGGTTATATCAATAAAATACGGATGGTAATTGGTTCTAAACTTCACAGTGAAATTGGCTTATAGAAAGAAAAGAGCAATTTTTTTTCTTGTCCCAATGCAAAAATGGGCGTTAGTGTGTGTGGACGAGAGCTTGTCCTTCTAAGCACCTTAAAGTCTTTACTTGTATTCCTGGAACTAGAAGCTATCACATGATTGAACTAAGAGAGCGAAAGAATAGGTGTTGAAAGAATTCAAATCAAATAAATCACTATCCACTTCTTAATTCTGTATTACAAATAAGTGTATTTTGGCATGTTTCTAGTGCTAATTCAATCACATGCTCCATTGTACATTATTCATTTTCTCTCATAATTCTTACTCAAAATTTCCACTCACATTAATCCGCTATAGATAGCATATAATAATTTTATTGTGAAGATAGGTTCTCTGGGTTAGACGCAAACAACAAAATCCTTGGAGAGCAATTCATTGTGTTATTTGTCCATGCCCTCGCACTATCGAAGATATTAATTTCAAGGGAAAAGGCAATAGAACAAGAATAAGGACATCAACGCCATGATTAGACCTGGTACATCCTTGAACTTATAGGCACACAAATGATTAGACCTTGCCGTTAGTTTGGACCTGTGAAATGAAATTGACTTTTGTGACTAAGAAGGTAAACAATTCAATGTTTAATGACTAAGTATCGACATTTTAACCATCTGCGAGCATGAGTAGGTTTTTAACCCATTAGGTAACTGAATACATCTGAATTAACTAAGCTAAATGGCACGGTTAATTAACAAAGTCTCAGTTTTTCCTTTTTTAACTTGAGAGCAGTTTTACAGATATTTTACACTGTTGATCCCCTTTTCCCAAACTTCATTATGGGATCCCTTTTTATTGTTCAAGAGGATTGGCAATTTTTTGTCTTTTCGGAACTAGGAGTAATTGGAAAACTGGCTTTTAGGCACCTTGTACAGATGGTGATGTGTGCATAGTAATTATGAGAATTACTTGTCACTTGTGAGATTGATTGAGAATAATGGTGTATGGTACTATTATCTCACCACTTTAGCATGTTATTGGCAGTAACGAAATTTAGTGCGCAAGAGTTTGACCTACTCGGTAGTTTGTTTGCTGTTCAGGGTATTTCTTGATAAATACTAGAGTTTTGAGTGTAAATAAAAGAATAGCCTTTATTGGAGAACTTTTTCATATGATGTTTTGTTTCTTAAATAATTTTTCATATTCCAAGTGTCCCTTCCTTCAAATATGAAAACTATCCTCTGTTTAATTTCAGCTTTCTGTACAAAACATGTATTCTGACTGGACATCTTGGAAGGAGCGAATGTAAGAAACTGGTTCTGGCGTTCAATTCAGAGGTTTTGTATGTATATGAAGGCATAGAATAAAAGAGAAGAAGAACAATTGTAGTTCGCATTAGCTCAACCAGGGCTCTAGTAGAGGGATTAGGTATAACCAGACGATTGTTTTGTCAAAAATATTTGAAACGGTAATTTTTAATCTTGACCTTGAAAAATAGGCCTTCTGAAAAAAATTGGCTTCCTTTTCTAAAATACATCTCTACTAGGAAAAAGGGAAACATCATTCCTCAAGAAGGTTTTATATGTTGATCCATATCTGCAGCTCATTCATCTTTATCTTCTTACTATATTGCTGAACTCAGGGTTTTGATTCTTGACAACTTTCATGTTTTTTCTCCTCTCAACTGCCCTTTCTGGTTTAAGTGAAATGTCTTAATTCATAAACAGAAAGATTTAAGCACTATATCCCATCACGTAAATATGTTTTTGAAGATTATTATTTGGAGTTGTTATTAATCCACCTTTGCTAGTTTTGAGTCTCTCTTCTGTTATATAATACTCTAGCATAATGTGATATGAAATAATAATGCACAATGCCTGATCGACTTAGTTTTTGCAAGATGATAAAGTGCTCCCTAGTTAATTGTTATAAATTTGTGGGCTTTTTTTTCTTTTTTTCTTTTGGCAGTTATCAAGTTTGTTTTAGCATGAAAAGACTCTCTGCGTCTGGAAAATGTGTGTATTTAGATAACTTGCTACTGGGTTATTGTCATCAACTATAAGGATGTGATTAAACGGCTAGAGTGATGATGACATTCAGGCGAGTTAAATGTTGTTGAACTTGTTTCTCCACTGAAAAACATATGTGGCAATGGGTGGAGTATACGTTCTTCTTGATTGTTATTATATTGGATAAAATAGTTGTCTTAAATTGTTATTCTATTCCATTCCATGTCATATTTCAATTTATAGCAGTTGAAAATATGTCCATTCAATTGATTTCCTTCTCGGAGTTGCCTGGATAATATTCGGAATTTAGAGCATGCAGGTTTGCTGTGCTTAAAGTCACTTTCTATCTGGTAAAGTAAGTTTTATTAGTAAACAATAACTTTGAAAATCATCTTTGGCAATATAAATTTGATGAATCGAGCTTTTGCTGAAACTAACTAGTTATTTTTGTTTATTTTGTTCATTTGTATCACCGTTCTACAGGAGTAACACAAAGAGCCGCTGAGTTTAAGTGCACATCTAGTCTCCCATCTTTACCAAACCAGATTCCCCAGAGAACAATAGTAGGAACTGCCATTACTGATGATGCAAATGAGGCAACGCGCAAGAATGTCATGCTGGATATGCCTCTTGTCTCGACAAGAGCAACTGGCCCGAATGGTACTAGGGTTCAAGGATTTTTATACCGTTACAAGAAGAGGGACGAGGTGAGAATTGTATGTGTTTGTCATGGTAACTTCTATTCGCCAACTGAATTTGTCGAGCATGCTGGTGGTGGCAATGTGGAAAACCCAATGAGGCACATAGTTGTTAATCCTTCTCCTTTCGTGTTATAATAATGTTTAATGTTTATGCTGTGGCTTGAAACCTGTAATGCAAGGGTTAGAAGTCTAGTTTTTTCGCATGGTTCTTGTCTTCTGTCTTGGGTGAACAAGAATCTTATGTTTGGATTGCTATGTTACCGTTAAACAGTACTTTCTGCTGATTTCTCCTTCTCTTTGGTTTTATATTGCTGTTTTATACATTTATATGCTTCTTTACTATAGATCTTTCACATCTTAACTGTGCTTTATGGGAGTGTTTGGCCGGGAAGGAAGGCAGAACGGAAAGATAGTATGAACCCGAGCCCGGTATCTTTATAAACAAAGCAAATTAGACCTTCATTTCCTTTCTTTACTACGAAAGAGTCGCCGCAGTTCTGTCCTTCAGTTTGCTCTTAGCCTCCAGCGATCAGTGTGTGTGCATAAAATGGTGAAATAGTATCTTGTGCAATTGAGTCGAGGGTCGATCGACTTACCTCGTAAGCTGGAAAGTCTTTTTTTTCAAAGGATAAATTAGACACTGTTAGTTTTTACTCGAGAAGAAAGTTGGCATTTGCTGATTCAATTAATCAAATGATTAGAAATTTCCTTTCATCCTTGAATAAATTATTTCATAACTTCATGAGTATATAGTTGTTGAATTTGTTTATAGTTTAAGCAATAAACTTAAGATCGGCTATATGAATTCTTTTCTGCCCATTCATCTAGAGAGGCCTCTCATAATACGTTAACAAGAACACACTCTTGACAGTCATTCTATGACAAATTTTGATAAAACCGAACTTGAATATTACAATCCATCAAGTATAAAGAACAGAGATAGGCAATCAGTTTCCCACCAAAAGCCTATCGTTTTTACACAAACCACAGCGAGTAAAAAATGTATCATCCTTCTATGCTAATTGTCCCGAGATGCCAATTCAGAAAATAAGATACAAATAGTTGAATTGAAGAGAGAAAATAAGACAATATAAAGAGAATAGAATTGTATTGAATTTATATGAATTCTTTTCTGCCCATTCTTCTAGAGAGGCCTCTCATAATACGTTAACAAGAACACACTCTTGACAGTCATTCTATGACAAATTTAGGTAAAACCGAACTTGAATATTACAATCCATCAAGTATAAAGAGCAGAGATAGGCAATCAGTTTCCCACCAAAAGCCTATCGTTTTTACCCAAACCACAGCAAGTAAAAAATGTATCATCCTTCTATGCTAATTGTCCCGAGATGCCAATTCAGAAAATAAGATACAAATAGTTGAATTGAAGAGAGAAAATAAGACAATACAAAGAGAATAGAATTGTATTGAATGGTGTAATTTGTTTACAAGAGAGACATCCTATTTATAGCTTAACTTGATAGAAATGTTTTACTTTCTAATCAATGTGGGACTAACTAACATGTGCATTATGTATATATATATA